ACAGCAGAGGAACCATGTCCTATCAAATGAACCATGAAGTTGGCAAAGCAATTAGTAATCAAGAATTTTCTTTTTTTCCTTTTTATATTTTGTTAAAACAAAGTAAAAGCATCTTGAAGTAAATCAACAAGTTTAGAGGAGGCAATCATTTCGACTTCGTGCCCTTAACAGAGTAAACTACATCCTACATGAATTTCTGTGTGTAGCTGTGCTGTTTCACTGTTACCTGATACATACAGGTAGTGAATTTATTTCTTACAAATGTCAAGAACTTGGTAGCTTCAGACAGGTTAGACAGCACAACACTTATGTCTTTGAGAACTCCAGCATTCCAGATAAGGATCCAAGGTCAAGATTCCATTTGCACTGTTTTTGTTACTTTATTCACATTGATATATAAGACTACAGAAAAGGCACATTTTCATAGCATGTCTGAACACCCAAATCTTACTAAGAAAGGACACTTCTAAGATAAACCACTTCAAGATTTTCCTAAACTGGATGTATACACAGTTTGCCTGCAAGACAACACTGCACTGCTACCTATAAATTAAAAATTGCAACAAAAATGGCTTGAAAGGGTAGTTAAATGGCAATTAAAAAAATTTTCAAAATGAATTTAAGTTTCTATTTGTAATGGTGACAGATGGCCTATATTTGATTTAATACTTGTGGTATTTTAAAACTTTATTTTCTTTTGTTTGATGCAGAATGATCTTTCTCTGTCCTTTAAGAAATCTTAAAACGCCAAAGCTAGTAACAGAGGTTTGTTAGTATTTTCATTCAAGTCAGATGATATTGGCTCTGGTCCTTCCCCAACCAGCTGCTCTGTCATTTCTGATACAAACTGGTGTAACTGCAATTTCCTGTGACAGTTGCAGATGATGCTAATGTGTCACCACTATATCTGGCCTGTGCAACGTTATGATGAAGCTTTCACTGACATTCCACATGCTACAAGTAATACTTCGTGCATTACAAAAACATGGCATACCCAAATGCCAAAATCAGTTTTAAAAGTAGTTCCTTCAACACTGCCTTAGACATTTTATTCACCAAGATCCCACTGATCTCCTCAGACACTTCGACTTAAGACTCTTCATCTAAGAAAATAAGAATGACATTGCTCTGGCCCAGTGTGTGTCTCTACTGCAGGCATCCAAGCCAGGTCCCATCACACAGGCTACCTCTGCAGTGCAAAGAAACTGCCACTCATGCATCCCAAAGGGGTTTTAAGGTATCGGTGTCAGGATGCATCCTTACAGGATCCTCCCCATCACCTATCAAAGACAGCTTGGGCGGGACATCAGGCTCAGATAAGACATCTAAAGTTAGGTGAGATGAACCTCAGCTTAAGAGTTTTAAATACTGAAACGTGCCTCATTTTACATCCCAGTTCAACAGAAAGGCTAGAACTCAGTCTCTCCAGAAGCACCCATGATCCCCTTTTCATTGTACCCTACCACTCAGGCCTACCAGCAAATCTTCAGGTGTCATCCATCGCCACAATAGCTCACACAAATAAAAAGTTATTTACACTAATCCAGAATTTCTGCAATCTTGTATTTCTCAGGCTTCAGCATTTCTGGATTTCTGATCACTTGGCCTCTGGTAGTGCTCTTTGACTCATATATATAAGAAAAAATAACCCCCAAAATTTTCTTATTATTCTTCCAACCATCTTGTTTGCCTGCATCTCAGTTGAACTCCTGATTTTGCATAGTTTGGAAGACACTTAGTACAACTACAGAATTCATGGGCTCACGATATCCGTACAGTTTAAAAACAAACGAACAAACCAACCTGATAAAACCTGATATTGCAGCCCTTCACTAATAAAAACAGTAAGCTCTAACCCAAAGAGTTTATGGCCTAAAAATATTAAAAAATCAGGGAAAGGTCAGCAAATATTTCTAAGTGGTGGCAAGAGGCAGTAAAATGCTGAGAAACATCTCATTGTCCACCTTCTGCAGAAAGTGTCTTTTACAAACAGCACATTCTAGTTCAGGAACATACCTAATTATCTTAAGTTTTCCTTCCTTCCCCAAACCTGCTAAAATCTTGAACTTAAGGTACTGTTCATGGAGTCTCCCAACATCAATCAGCTCAGCAAAGAAATGCCATTCATGAACACGTTTTTCTGTCTTACCTGGAAGAGCTATTCTAAGCTATTTTGCTTCTCATTTAAATCCAAATGAAAGTTACAACTATTATATATAGCCAGGAAATACAACAACAAAAATTTATTTAAAAAGTGGGCATGTGAGACCTACATGGTTTAATATTTATAACTTTTTAAGCCAAGGAATGAGATCCATTACTTTTGAGTATCTTTTTTTCTAACATTATTATTTCAAAATGTTCTACATCAGTTCCCCACAAAAAAGTCCTCTGAGGAAGAACTATGAATTGACCTATCCCTTTCAATGAAAAGGGTTGTCAAATTGAAAAGTGTACACAGTCCTATTCCTTGCACTACCAAGGACACATGATGGAAAAAAAAAAAAAGACATATTTGTACTGATGTAACAGCTTTATGCTTTACAGAATCACAGAACAGTTGAAGTTGAAAGCAACTTCTGGAGATCACCTAGTCCACACCCCTGCTCAAAGCAAGGTCAGCTAGAGCAGGCTGCTCAGAAATCCACTCTGTTTTTAATTCCAACAATGGAGAGCACACAACCTCTCTGTGCAACCTGTTCTAGTGATCAATCACTCACGATAATTTTTTTCTTCTTGGTTTGAAATTGAGTTTTTTGCACATTGATTTGTGCCCATCACCTCCTCTCCTGCCACTGGGCTTCACTCAGAAGACTCTGGCTCCATCTAATTTATACTTCTTTACTAATACAGGAGATATTCCAAGTGCTCAGTCATTGGTCTTGCCTCCAGCATTCCCATGTCTTTCTTGTACTGGAAGCCCAGAATAACGCTTTGCATTCCAGACATGTCTCATGAGGGCTGAGCAGAAGGGCAGGGAAGGACCACTTCCCTTGACTGGCCAGCAATGCTTTGCCTAGTGCCACCCAGAACGTGGTCAGTCTTCTTTGCTGCAAAGGCACACTGTGGGCTCACATTCGCCTGTTGTCCACTAAGACAACCTCTTACTCCTCCTCCTTTTCTGTAAGTTGCTTTCCAGCCATTTGGTCCTAGCTTGTACTGATGGATGGGCTTCCTCTTACCCAGGTTCAGGTCTCAAACAGCCGAGAAAGACTCAAACAAAACAGTAAATATCCTCAAACAGCTGAGCAGCAGTGACTGCTAGAACAAAAACCACTTTCGTACTCAAGACTTCAAACATGCTCACCTCTACATTGATTTTGGCACAACAGTAGCAGGCCAGGCAGCTCTTCAGACATCATGAGCATCATGAGACCACGTCAACTCCCACAGGCTCTACAGGCATACTTACCACCAATGGCTAATGTGATTATTGTTTCTCCTGATGCTGTGTTTTAAAAGCTTGAAAATCAGAACAATTTTGCAGTTCCAAACACCACTGCTAGGGTATATATGAGGAGGTCAGTTATTCCAACAGTAGTTCTATTCAACTAGCATGCCTCAACAGCTATAGCACAGCAGATGACTTACCCTTTGGGCTTTGTCTTTTAACTCCTGATCTTGAGCTAAGAAAGCTTGCATCCTCTTTTGGATGTCTGTAAGTTTTTCAGGATTAATTCTAATTTTAAAAAAAAAGAAAGTTATTTTTAATTTCCGAGGAGTATTAGCATGTCTTTTGCATTCTTCAACATGCGTAAAAGTTATTACTTTGAAACAGCTTAAAATGGAACCATATTAAAGATGAAGCATACACTTCTCAAACAAATAATACAGAAAAGACAAACAGGAAGATCAGATTTTTTTTTATCCAGAGATAGTTTTCAGGGAAGGTGGTGAAACTGCTTCCAAAGTTGAGCCGAGAACTTCTTCCTGAGAAAATATATAGAAGCAGCATAATGAATTATAGTGCTACTTTATCCTGAGACTGCAGTCTTCATAAGGAAATTCTCAGCATTTTTGGAAGCTTAAGTAAGATCCACTGTCCCAAGAATACCGACATTAAAGTACTTCTTTCTTACAGCCAGATGAGCAAAAATAAAGAACACTGAGATTAAACAGATTTACAGGCTCCTCAAGGTATTGATCAGGTGAATAAAGAACAGTGACTGTATTACAGAAAATGCTACTAAACCTAGTAAGAAGGTATGCAAGTCCTCTCCCAGACTCTGGATATTTACATCTATTCCAGTGATACCTATACTATTCCAGGTTTATTTGCCCAGATCTCTTCTGGTTTTCATCTGCTTGGACCAATCAAGTGTATCATACACCCTATCAAACCTTCAGGAGGTTACCCCTCAGCTAAAGGTCAGAAGAAATGCACCACTACCAGATTTCTTAAACTGGTTCTTGCTGCTCTGTGCCATGTCATCCCATATAAACAAACAATACAACAAAACATGGCCTTTGTTAAACAAAGTCAAGAAAAAAAGAATCAAAATCATGCCTCTTTAAATAACAGTAAGTCAGTCTAAAAAATGTGACTGATTAAAATACCAAGAAACATTTTGTAGTAATTTTTTTGTAATGTATAGTCAGTATTATCATCTATTATTCTTACTAAATACAAAAGCCGTAATACTTTAATCTATAATCTATAAAGACATCAAGCTTTATTCTCTCATCATATCCTTATCTCTGTCAGATACAGACACTGGAAAACTGTAGTGCACACAAGAGCTATTTAGCTGCATCTTTAGTGAAAGATCAAAAAGATGAGTTCCAGTTTCAAGTCAGCACATAATTTGCTCTGAAAGCGTAAGGACATAACAAATAAGAGGCATGAAAAATTCCATGGGGGAAAAAACTGACCAACAAGTCTTTGAAATGCAATGCAGAATAGAAAGTACACAAGATACCAAAGACAGAAAGGCTCAACAGAGAGAAGGCTCTTCTAGATTTTATTCTGTAAAACAAAATTGAGAAGGCATCATTGAAAATATTCCCTTAGCAAAATAAAAACAGTAGCTTGCCTAATACCAAACTGTATTATAAGGTACAAATACAAACTATACTACCTTACCGCAGAGGATAAACAGGAGTAAAAAGGCTGGCTAGATGAAATCAACATGTTTACAATGAAACTCAAGAATAAAAGCTTGAAGAAGAACTGAAGACAAGTATAAAAATAGCACAGATACGTTATAAACACAAAATGAAATACAAAAAGTAAAGAAGGCATATGATGAATAAATAATTGACATGAACACCAGTAGTAAGACAGCCCAAAGAAGTGCTGGACTGGTCCTAAGTTATGGGAAAGCTATTAAGAGATGACCTCAAGGCACTTAAATCAGCCAGTGTCTTTTTTTTTTTCCTCGTCTTCACTCAAAGTGGTAGCTGCAGCACGGTCCAAGCTGACAGTAGAATTGCAAATCACAACATAACAGGTACTTAGATAAATCAGCTGGGTTAAAAGAAGCTTACTCCCTAGCAACTAGAGCAAAAGTCAAAGCACTCTGAGTCATAGTTCCATCTATTCTTGAGAAATGATCCAAGATAGAAAAAAACAAATCTAATGATAAAATGAGACAGAGCGAGTAAACACAGGGCTCATCTTCAAAGGTGGAAAAAAGCCTGGAAGTTAGACTGTTAACTGTTTTCTTGATACCAAAAAAGACAATTTGTAAGCACCTAAAGAAGATAAGCAAACACACAATGGCAACATAGCGTAGTCAGAAGCAAACCATGACTAACCAGCTTGATTAGTCTCCATAGCAGCATTAGCAGGCTTTAAGAATAGGAAAGAAAGAGCAAATGCCATATTTGATGTCAGCATAACATCTGGCAGTTGCACATTCTCATAAGCTAGGGAGACATGGTCTACATGAAATCTTTAAAGTAAATGCAAAACTGACCTTGGAGCTGTACTCAAAGAGTAGCTGGGACTGCCAACTACTCAATGTGTGACTGTAAAACGCAAAATGCACACTAAGTTCCAGTTCTTACCTAGGCCCCCTATTACAGACTTGATCATTAAATAATGAATCATATTCCCACAGAGGAGACAATACATCACTGGGGTTCCAAGCATAATGGACAGTAATCTTAGACAAGATGTGACAATAATTTGTTGATTGCACATGAATTTTGAGTAATTTGGCTGAAATTTGCAAGAAAAGGGTTTTAAGAAAACAGGGTCCCCCACAGGGTACAGGTGGACATCTGCACCCCATCACCTCCGTGGGCTGCAGGGGGACAGCCTGCCTCACCGTGGTCTTCACCATGGCCGGGGAGATTCTCTACTCTGGTGCCTGGAACACATCCTCCCCCTCCATTTTCACTGACCTTGGTTGCTTCACATGTTCTCACTCCTCTGTCCCTCTGCCAGTTCCTGTGTGGCACAGTTCTTTTTGCCCTGTTTCTTAACTATGTTTTCAAAGAAGTGTTCCTATCCTGTCACTACTGATAGGCTCAGCCTTGGCCAGTGGCGGGTCCCTCTTTGGAGCCAGCTGACATTTGCTCTATCAGACTTGGAGGAAGCTTCTAGCAGCTTCTTGCAGAAGACACCCCTATGGCCTGCCCTCTCACTGAAATCCAGCCAGGCAAATCCAGTACAAATGATCATCATTAAATTTGAATTTGGTTTCGGTGAGTTTGCATACTATTACTTTCTGAAGAAATAAAACTCTTTAATTACACACACGTTGACTATTTGGAGAGACAAACTTAAAATCAAAACATTTAAATGAATTGTTTTAATTTACAAGCTTGCCTCATCAGTTAAGAACCAGTGAGCTAAAAACAACTACGCAAAGAATAGGATTTTACAACATTGTCTGTCATTTTAACTAGGCTGTTTCTTTCTTTTCTTACTCTGAGAACATAAATATTGCATTTACAGAGTAATATAACTTTTTGAAACTATTGTTTTGCCTGGTAGTTGCATAAATGGCCACAGTCGACTGTGCCATGATGTAAATCTGAACTCCACCTGCTTGGTCTTAGGAACTGATCAGACAGTCCTCTCCAAATTTTCTGGTTGATATACACCCTGCTTTCCTCTCATTTCTCCAGTTTTTAACACCAGGACAGAAGTACCGCTTCAACTGGACACTCTCTCTTCCCCATTCTCTCCAAAGCAGAATTTAAAGAAAAAAAGCTCAACTACCACCAAAAAGACCAGGCTGCCATGATGTAGCAAAGAGGTTGCTATATTCCACCCAGCTTCCAAGCAGCAGCAGGTTTTGCTTCGTGATCTTCAGCCTGGAACGGGGCTCCCTGTGCTTGCTCTGGACACCCTGGAAAGCTGGAGGGAATAGGAAGAGCTGGGACCTCAGGAAGGCTCCTCAGAGTTGCCAGCCTCACCCCTGCCCGCTGGTTACTGATACCAGTGGACTGCCCTACAGTCATGATGGTAATTGGGAGGCAACAAGTTCTAGTAGATTCCCCAGTATTAATATTACTGTCACGCGGAATACATATCAAAGTATTCTCCACTGACAGGAAAAAGAAAGAAGTGGCTTTTGTTGTCAGTGTTGCTTTCTTCAAGATCCACATCTTTTGTTACAAGAGCAAAGAAAATAATATTACATTTTGGGTATCTACATACTTGTACTTCCTTTGGTAAAATTTTCTCCACACAAGATTTATGATTATCCCTTAAGGCAGCAGCTTTTATCTTAAAATTATAGAATACATTAGGCTAGAACTGACCTTTAAAGGTCAACCAGTCCAAACCCCCTGCAGTGAGCAGGGACATCTTGAACCAGATCAGGTTGCTCAGATCTCCATCAAGTCTGACCTTGAATATCTCCAAGGATGGAGCCTCCACCACCTCTCTGGGCAACCTGTGCCAGTGTCTCACCAGCCTCAGAGTAAAGAACTCATGCCTAACATCTAACCTAAGTCTACCCTGCTCTAGATTAAAACCACTGCCTCTCATCCTGTCACTACAGGTCCTTGTGAACAGCCCCTCCCCAGCTTTCCTGTAGCTCGTACAGAACTCTCCAGAACTTTCTCCAGGTCTCTCCAGAACTTTCTCTTCTGCAGACAGAACAGACCCAACTCTTTCAGGCTGTCTTCGTAGGAGAGGTGCTCCAGCCCTCTGATCATCTTTGTGGCCCTCCTCTGGACCTGTTCCAACAGGTCCCTGTCCTTGTGTTGAGGGCTCCACCAATGGGCACAGTACTCCAGGCACGGTTTCACCAGAGCAGAGCAGAGGGGCAGAATCACCTCTCTCGACCTGCTGGCCACACTTCTTTTGATGCAGCCTAGGATGCCATTGGCCTTCTGGCCTGCAAATATGCATTGGTGGCTCATGTCCAGCTTTTATCCACCAGTATCCTCAAGTCCTCTTCCTGCAGCACATCACACTCTCAAGCACTTCACCCCCAAGCCTGTATTAATAATGAGGACTGCATCAATCAGGTGCAGACCTTGCACTTGGCCTTGGTGAATTTCTTGAGGTTCACATGGGCCCACTTCTCCAGCTTGCCCAGGTCCCTCTGGAGAACATCCCATCCCTCTGACACATTGATTGCACCACTCAGGTTGGTGTCATCGCAAACTTGCTGAGGGTGCACTCAATCCCACTACGTCATTGATGAAGGTATTAAACAGCACTGGCCCCAGCACAGACCCCTGAGGGACACCACTGTCACCTATCTCCATTCAGACATCAAAGCCATTGACCACACTCCTCTGGGTGCGACCATCCAGCCAATTCCTTACCCATCAAACAGTCCACCTCTCAAATCAACATCTCTCCCACTTAGAAGGATGTTGTGGGGGACTACGTCAAAGGCCTTGCAGAAGTACAGAGAGATAACATACATTGCTCTTCTCTTGTCCGCTCATATAGTCATTCCACCATAGAAGGCCACTAGGTTCGTTGGGCAGGACTTGCCCTTGGTGAAGCCATGTTGGCTTCTTGTTACTGAAAAAAAGTGGATGCCATGAAGTAGTATCAAGGTATTACCAAAAATAATTTTAGTTTACAGTTTGTATCTAAAACTTTGAAATTATAGACTCCTTAGACAGGCTAGAGGGCTGGGCGAGGAGAAATCTTATGTTCAGTAAGGGCAAGTGCAGAGTTTTGTACTTGGGAAAAAATAACCCCATGTGCCAGTATAGGTTGGGGACTGACCTGCCGGAGAAAGGGACCTGGGGGTTCTGGTGGGCAGCAGGATGCCCATGAGCCAGCAATGTGCCCTCATGGTCAAGAAGGCCAATGGCATCCTGGGCTGCATTAGAAGGGGAGTAGCTAGTAGGTCGAGAGACGTCCTCCTGCCCCTCTACTCTGCCCTGGTGAGGCCACATCTGGAATATTGTGTCCAGTTCTGGGGCCCTCAGCTCAAGAGAGACAGGGAACTGCTGGAGAGAGTCCAGCGCAGAGCCACAGAGATGATGAAGGGAGTAGAACATCTCCCTTACGAGGAAAGGCTGAGGGAGCTGGGTCTCTTTAGCTTGGAGAAGAGGAGGCTGAGAGGTGACCTCATAAATGTTTATAAATATGTCAAGGGGGAGTGTCAGGAGGATAGAGCCAGGCTCTTTTCAGTGATGTCCAATGACAGGACAAAGGGCAACGGGTACAAGCTGGAACAGAGGAAGTTCTGCAAAAACATCAGGAAAAACTTCTTCACTGTGAGGGTGACAGAGCCCTGGCACAGGCTGCCCTGAGAGGTTGTGGAGTCTCCTTCTCTGGAGACATTCAAAACCCACCTGGACGCGTTCCTGTGTGACCTACTGTAGGTGATCCTGCTCTGGCAGGGGGCTGGACTAGATGATCTTTTGAGGTCCCTTCCAGCCCCGAACACTCTGTGATTCCACGATTTAAACACATACATAATGGTTAATACTTTCAGAGTAGCTTTTTGTCATTCTGGAATGCTCTAAAATATGGCATTTATTATTGCATATTTTGCATTTTCTCCTCTGTTTGAACAATGAAAAAGAGATGTACTGTTAAAAGCACTACCAGTAAACTGGCAGCTTGTCCTAATTAGAAAGGAATGGTATACTAAGAGGCTCCACAGGGAGCTTAGATGTAAAATTGAAAATTAAGAAAACAGCTCATACCCCAGCCTTATGAATAGGTATTCTGGAAAAGAAAAGTTCTTCCCCTCTCTGCTTTCACATTATGGAACTATTTTAAAAACTCTGCCTAAATGAAATAAATGTTTGCAAATCAGAAAATACAAAAGAGGGAAAGTAACAGAAAAATGGTTCTTTGAATCCCTACACAAGACAGCAGGTTAACAAGAACAGCAAAACGAACACTGTAATTTACAATGAAGTTTTAGAAACAAAAAGCTTTCAGACTGAATTACAGAAGTTTGAAGAGTTAAACTCTGTTGACAGCAAGCAATGATCGTTACCTTCTAACTCAATTCTTGAGAATCTGTAACCGGATGAACATGCACAAATAACTTCAGAAGACTTCAACAGAAGACTTCAATAGAAGACCTGGAAGGTGATCTATGGTTTGATGCAACTTCCTCAACAAGTTATCAACTGACAAAACTCACCAGGGTTCTATTAATTGGGAAACAGGCTAGAAGTAAACAACTTAAGAAAATGTGTAGCTAGAAGGTCTTAGGATAAAAATTGTTTTACAGTTACACAGAATTATTTTTTTTAAGGATTTTAAGTTAGCCTCATACAAGTACGATGCAAAACAATTTAAGCCTTAACCACGCTGGATGGACAATGCTAAGTAAACGCATTCCCCTTTGTTACAATGTTACAAATACTAATGAGATACAGTTTTTCAGTCTGTAATACTATGTATCTTGGGGCTGTTAAAATACATTATCAATCCAAATCCCTGAATTTGCTTATAGTGATTCCAGTTAAGATTGTCACTTAAATATAGTTATTATATATATATACACACACACCCTAGTGGCTTGGTAAAAAAAATTAATTTTCTGGGTGACGTTCAGAAAGAAAAAACCTAAATCTGAGACTTTTCCATTGATGCAACAGCAGATTATAAAGAATATGTTATGAGATGTATCCATGCACGTCTTTTCACTGGCACATCTAGCTTGAATTATAAATAGAAGATGCACTTATTAGGGGGGGAAATTAAATATTTGCTTTATTGAAATTCAATGGTTATTCTGGTACAAAAACACTGACTTCCATTTACATGGATAAATATAGACTAAAGAGGCTTTTTTACCATTTTCTGTGATAAGCTATTCAAACAATTAACTGCATTACTCAAGAAGTTAAAAGCTTAGCTGTCAAAGAAAGGTGAAATAATGTGCATGGGATCAGACATTTATTTAGTGAATATAAAAGTAAGATAAATGATTTGAACTATCATTTTAAGAATAAAAAAGATGAAGTTTGGAAAAAGAGACAATATGCTTAAGCTAGTAGCTATACAACAGACCTTCTAAAGAGCTATGAAGTTTTAAGGAAAATATCAGACTTGAATTCAGTTTCTCTACTGATATTGTGAACATTCAGTTTGGGGTTTGGTTGAGTTTTGTTCCTGTTGTGTGTTTGTTTTTTTAAACAGCAGTGTCAAAAGAAAGCTTTAAGCATGACTAGGGTTCTCCTAGTTGTTTTCTCCATTTAGGGTCTTATTTTCACCGCTTTAGCAAAAGTTGTGTTATGTTCAAAGTTGACTCATGTTCTACACAGTACTGGCACACGTTTGACCAGGGAAAGGTGTATTTACTTCATTGGATGCCGTGTCCTTGGTAACATAGAAGCAACATTCACAAGTGCCCCTCAAATGGCATATTCTACATATCAAAAATACTTGTAAAAAAATAAACTAAACCTTAAATCTCAGAAGTGCCATGACCGTTTCATTTCTCTGCAGAAATTACAACTTGTTAATTTCGAACAGAACCAAAGGCTTAAGCAATGCAGTTATAACGACTTTTTCATCCTACTTTGATTTTTTTTTCCTCAAAAAGTTCTTCCACAAACACTTCCTGCATACCATTAATTACTTTATTTACTTAGATTTCCATATCTCCACATTTAAACCACAGCTTCACAGTCCTAACCTTGCTCATGTCCATAACTACCGAAACTGAATTTTCTATTTTGTCATCCTTCTCTGATTTCTTCTAGCTCCACTCTACAATTTTTGGCACGGTGTAACCTGAACTATGTAAGTACTCAAAATGGAGTCAGGCTCACACCACATTTTCTGGCTTGTTTTCAGTTCTTCCTTTCAGTTCTTCCATATTTCCTTCATATTCCGTTTCCTCTTTTTATTTAACATTAGACTGACAGGCTCAAAGAATAATGAACTCCTTCCTACCTACATCTGCTAATTAAGAAATTACCACCCACTCTTTTTAGCTTTTTTTTTTGTCTTTTCTATATGTTCATTTCTTTGCATTTAATAGGAATTGGAACTATAAGTGCTTTTTTATTTTTACATGATATCTTCAAATACTTCTGCAACTCTTTGAAAGTCAATTCTCTTTTGTACAGATAGCACAGATCTCTAACAGATTTCCATTGAAATACTCCCTCGTATGTAAAATGACCATTTAGACACATCTTTTATTTCCTGTTCTTAAACTAATTGAGAAAAATCATGACAAATTGGAGAAACATTCTAGAACTAGAGACCAGTAAGAAACAAGAATGATAGCCTGTATAAAACACATTCAAGGACAGATTAAAAAAATTGTAATTATTTAATCTGCAAAAGAAGAGAGAGTATGATAATGTTCAATTATATTAAAAGTAGTTGCAAAGAGTAAGAGAATACATAATTTTCCATATATTCTTGGCACAGGACAAAAGAAATATTTCACTTAAATGACTTACAAGCTTTATCAGACACTTGAAGAAAAATGTTAACGGTAGGAACTGCTGAGTATAGATGAGATCACTTCGGGAAATTGTGACTATATTAACTGGCAAGTTAGACAAGCATCTGATAAGATTAATTTGTGCAGCTGATCCTGCCTGTGGGAAAGGGGATGGAATAGGTAACCTCTCAAGGTCTTTTCCTTCTACAGCACGATCAAAGCAAAATGATCTCCCTTGTTTGTCCAGCTCCAGGCAATTCAAGCACTTTATCAGGATCATCATAGACTCATCACATTTCATTCCTCTAGAAAGAAGGCTGAATTACAGACAGGCCCATCAGTCACTTACTTGATTTCACTGACAGGTACTTTCCTCTGTGCCAGCTGTTCCACCATGCCTTTTTCTTCTGAGGGAAGCAACACTAACAAAGCTTCACCACCTTCTTTATATCTGATTGGGGGGAAAAACAAAACAGAGACCTCTAGTAAACAGGAAAAAATACATTTTTGTTCATGTTTTTAATAACCAATGAGAGTCTACATGTGCTTCCTTATCAGCAGAGTATATAAAAAATCCTTAAATTACAAACAGAAAAGAGAAGGCAAATTAGTTAAGGGACTTGTTAGTATCTCCACTTAAACTGATTTTGAAACTGTGCCTAGAGCCCTAAACATCTGGGGCTAAGACATGGATTCAGATCAACGGATCTTTTCTTCCCTAGAATACAAATACCAGCAATAATCAAATGGCACTTGATCAAAGCTTACAATACTAGGAAATCTAGCCACTTGCATTCGTTCTTTACCAATAGGCTTAAATCTTAAAACCTGGTAACAACTGATTCTCCTTTCAATGTCCTGCAAGTGAAAGAAGGTAAAGGCGAGGAAAGGACAAGTGCCTTGATGTCAAGCGACGACTCCTACTTGCAGGTTCAATAAAGGCTACTCGTCTAACATGTCATAGAGGCATCACTGGGAGAGGGAAGAGGGGAAGAAAAAAAAAAAGCATAAAAATAGAAGTACTTTCACTTACAGAAGCAGGTTTTAGGTGAAAAAGTGAAGATACAAATCAGACTGATCCCATAAGAACATACCTAATATTCACTCTTCAGTAGACTTAACAGATATCTAACATAGCTGAGTTGGCAGTTACTCAAGATACATGGTTGGCAAAGACATTAAGAAAAATAATCTTTTGTTCTTAAACCATCTTTCTGTTCACTTGTGTGTATGAAAATTGACAATTCCTACTTTTGGCGAATTTGGCTACTTGAGGATGTTCATGGAGCAAAAAATACCAAAGAGCATTAGTAAACAAACAAGACAACGGCCTTAAGTCCTACTGAAGAAGGATGCATTATCTAAGTCCATATCTATTATTAGGTTGGAAAAGACCTCTAAGATCATCAAGTCCAACTGTCAACCCAACACTACTATGACCACTAAACCATATCCCCAGTTGCCACATCTATATGTTTTTCGAACACTTCCATGGACGGCAACACCATCACTTCCCTGGGCAGCCTGTTCCAATGCCTCATCACTCTTTCAGCAAAGAAATTTTTCCAAATATCTAATCTAAATCTCCCCTGGTGCAACTTGAGGGCATTACCTCTTGTACTATCATTAGGAACTTGGGAGCATCCACCTCACTACAACCTCCTTTCAGGTAGCTGTAGACAGCAATGAGGTCTCCTCTCAGCCTCCTCTTCTTCATAAGAGATGTTCTCTAGATCACTCACCAGCTTTGTTGCCCTAACACATACACTGTTTCTTCATCTACATTTACAAATTTTTCTAAGAGTACAAATTGATAGGAAAATATTGCACAGAGTCATCCATTGTATAAAAAACAACCACCCAACTAAATTTCAGAAATATCCAAAACTGGACAGAATCCAACTCCCAACTGATAAGAGCAACATGTGGGGCAAAGCAAAATAAAGACTGGTAAGTTACTATGTAGAGCAGCCCTAAACTGACAAGAGCTACTCACAGGGAAGTCCATAGACAGCAGTAAGCCTATACATAAACCGATACAAGTATTCCATTTATTTGAAACAGAAAATACTCGTTGTATTATTTTCCAAGTGTCATTTTATATCAAATTTTTTACTATCTTAAGAGGCCTTTGGTTTTGTTTTAGTCCTAATTGTCTTTTTTCCTATGTTGATAAAACTTGTCATCCATCTCAAACACATCTGGTTTGTCCTTTCTCTTTCTATAAGGAAAGTTAACTGTTGCCTCCATCTTCATTCCACTTAGTCTGTTGCCATGTCATAAATCTTCAGCTTCTGTTACCCCATCATACATTTTCCTGTTAGGTCTTTACTCCAATTGCACTCACTCTTCTCCATCAAGAGAACCATCAAGGTCAGGATATTATACAAAAGCTACAAACTGTCAGCAGAAGGGTGAGAGATGTTATTATTAGCCTGTCTTTGGGTTAGAGACCACAGAGGGAGGTCACACATTGTTCCAGTAAAAGCTCAGCAATGACAAGAAAACACCTTTGCACACAGAAAAGTGACTTAAGTGCTATTTAAGGAAGTATTAGAGCCAAGAGTCTTTGGCTTGAGAGACCTTTTACACTGGAGGCCAGAGAGTGCAGAAAGATGTTCTCCAGCTTCAGATGGAATATAGGGAGCCCCATATTTCTCCAAGCATAAGCAGTTATCCCTTGGCTAAAACAGTACTGCAGAACTGTTTGAAAACTATCCGTCACAGCATCATGAGCAATGCAAGTAGCAGCAAAATCTGCAGTTACAACAGTCTGACAGCTTTTACTGCAGCTCTCTGCTTTCATTTGATCAATCTGAAAAATCACCACAAAAAATGCTCTTAGATGCCCTTTTTTTTTTTTTCCCCAATGCTATACATTATGGGTTTGGGGACCAAGTTTTAAAGATAATTTTAAAATGTTTAATACATGTTTTTGCCAGGAGATTTTAATCCTTTACTTTCCAGATTTTGAAATTTTAAACGGAAATCAAATTGATACAAGAGGACAGTTTCTGTCACATACCAACACTATGCAAGTTTACTAGTTATACATGGTCTAACATACCATACATGGTATGACATTTGGACTTTGTCCCAGAAAATACTGCTTTAGGGTTCTGGGTAAGGGAGAGATACTGTACAAAAAGTATACTAACTTGATTTTAATGCATTTAATTAGTAGACCTAAAATGTTCTTAATGCAGAAATACCAGCTTGCAGAATGTTTTTTTTAAAAAAGAGTTTTAAAGCAACCCATATGCTTAGTTTAAGGCAATTTCTTATCTTTATCAACAGCACAGGAGGACCTAACTCACAGCTGACTGTTCACACCATTTATGCAATAATTAAGGTTGGAAATTACTTGCTTATGTAGATCAAGTGCACCTTCCAAGAAAACTCTACATATTTTAACCCAGCCAAATTCCAGATGACATCTCCACAAAGTGGGTGCATGTCAGACACTGTCACTGCTTGAACAAGCAATGAAATCTTCGCAAGCCACTGAACATTAGAGGACTTTGCATTTTATGGAAAAAAAAATTATGATCGCAGTTCCAAGACAGCTAATTATTCATCAAAAGAACCTGAGTTCTCAGAGCACTGTTGGAAAGAAGGATCAAAATATTCTCTTTTATCTACTCAAGGCCTGTATTGGAGAGGAAGACAGAGAGATAATATTGCTGCCAATACCAGCCTCACCAATTTAGAGTACAGTATAACACACAGCTCTGCTCTTCTCTTCAAAACAGATGCTACAAAAGGAAAGGATTCCAAATAGAGCTATGTGAATGATTCGATATCTGAAAAGAATGTCTGTTCAGTTTCTTAACAAGAAGCTTCCTCATTTGTCAAAAAGACACAAAAAAAAGTCTCAACCTCACTATATAAACACCTACAAAGGATAATCTTTGCAGATTGCTTAAATTTAGTCAAAGGCATGAAGTGATTTCTGCAAGTTTATTGCTTCTGGCATTTTTTTATCCTGGAGTGCCTGAGCCGGCATTCTTAAGATTGTTGCTTTACAATATTTATTGTGTGCAACACACTATGAAAGGTCAGTGCCATCCAAATCAAAGAAGAAATACACATCAGGGGTCAGAGAGTGCAGACATCATCTCCGCAACCCACAAACACTAACTTTGGAATGCACAGGAAATATGGTTCTACATTAGTTCTGCTTTTATAGCTTTTCTCTAGTACCCACGAGGTCACTCTTAAAACAGGATGCCAGATCAGCTGAGCCTTCAAAGCGATCCTTGAAAGATGTTCTTGTGTTATTATATGCTGAGTCAGTTAACTTTTCAAAAAGCACAAATTCAGGCGATGTAATTCTAAAGGCACATTCCACAGATAGTTCACACAGAAAGAAAACAAGCATTATATCTGGCACCTATGAACAACCAATTCAATGTTTACATTAAGTCTTGCAAAGTCTTTATACAGAGAGAATAGTACTATAGCTAAGTAAAGAAAAACACACAAAGAGCTGGAGGTTTTCAGGCACCTATACCTTCTCATCTTTTAGCAGCTGTTAAGAAAAAAAGCAAAAGCAACATTAAAAATATTTATCGGAGCTGATGCCTTTCAAAATTCAAATGGACTGGAAGACATCTGGTAACTACAGACATCTCTGTTGAAAACATTCACTCTTCTAAACATCAATATTTTAAATGTACTTGAAGTTAATGAGGAATAGTCTCAGGCCATTTTTTATTTTAATTAGTTAAATCACGCTTAAAATATGACAGTTTAATATTAATGCTGTTCTTCAGAACTAAACATGAAAATCAAATCATTACAGAACTGAGACAGATCAAAACCAAATAATCTTAAGTACCATCTGGGAAAGTTTATACCTATTCAGTGTCTCAAATAGGCATTTAGCCAAAGAAAACAAAATATAATCCTATTAAAAACAAAACAAACAAACAAACAAAAAAGAAAAACTCACCAAAAAAAAAAGTTTCACTTGGCCTGGACGTTATCTTATTTCTCAAAAAAAAAGGAAATAATAACTTAGCAATGTGCTAATAAGAAAACTACGGTCTTAATTTAAAGATAACCTCAAAAAGAGAGTTTGCAGTCTCTTAGGATACCACATACAAGCCATTCCAATTCTATGGAAAATTGCATCTTACTTGCAGAAAGTCTTTGGGAAAAAGAAATCATATACTTCTAGTCTTATTTTCTAGCATCTATTGGCTTCAACACTTACCAAAAAGGCAAGTAACTTCTCTGCAACTCTATCCTGACTTACAAGTAAGGAAGCTGTAACATATCATCACTATTAGGCAAAGGGCAAGAATGATACATTTACACTGACTGGAGATGAGAAAAAAAAGACACCTACAATCAAGGGCAAGCACCAAAGGCTGGACAAGAAAACTAGATAAATTACTTAAGACAATGTAGTACTGGCTAATTAGAAATAGAGAAAAATGGTTTTGT